GGATTTTAATATCCATTGCAGAGTTGATGTTATACGGCTCGTTCAGTGAATCGCTGGCCGGCTAGATGGTCAGCCGTAAAAGAGTGATTCTGACCAAATTCCCTATTAAAACATAAATAATTCCCTTTGAGCTAAATTGACCTGTTTCCCTTACAAAGCTAATTTACTGATATAGGCTAATCTTACGTGAGACACTGTAAGCAGGGCTGTTTTTGACCATTTCAAATGGAAAGAGCCTATCCTGGTTGACCATTTCTCTCCCCAATCACTACTAAACAAATCCCATTCTGTATTCACACCATGGTAAAATATGCACTTAGTTATGGTTCCACTGTAAATTTATTTTGGTGTTCTTAAAATATAACCAATATCTAGGCAAGTATTAAACAAAAAGATAGTACATACATACATAATGCTTATAAAACATTGCTTTATTGAAACACTGAATTTCCCCCCCCCCATTTTTTGTTTACTTTTGCAAAATAATTGTTTATATTATTTTAATAATAATAATGCAAAACATTATTACAACATTAACAAAACGTTTCGTGATCAGTACAATTTCTCAACTCATCTGCAATCATCAGCTGTTGCATTAACCTGTTTGTGCATTGTTCATAAACTGATTGTGAGACAGAGGCGCAAGGGACTCACCAGCCGGCACGCACTTCTCTCTCTGCTGCAGTTTCCAGCCGTATGCACACGAGCACTCGTACGACTGATAGCCCGGCTTACAAAACTGACTGCACCCTTTGCTCTTATCGATTACACATACCGTTTGATCTAGATGTGAAAAAAAAGAATCAGTGAGAACAAGAACAAACTTCATTCAGCATCATGTAATAAATACAATTGAGAAATACTAAAATTTCTTATCCAGTGGTGAACTTTTTAGAGTTTCAAGCCCTATTTAGCAGGTCAAACTAAATGTTAAGTGTTGTATGTCATAATTTTGTTGAAAGGGTCATGAAATGCATTTTCAGATCTTTCTGGATTCACTTTACTGCACTGAATTTATGCTCTTGTGACTGACATGACAGGCATGAGTTGTTGACAGACCTCAGCATCATTATTCATTACATTTATTTACAGGCACCTTTCACGACACTCAGTTCACCTTAAAAAGTCATCCTAAGAATATTAATATAACAACAATAAACAGCATACATGCACTTATGCATAAACAGAACATGCATTTAGACACTGAGGAATAAAATATTGCTTAGTACATGTGAAATCATAAATATGATGTCCAAGGGAAAGGAATTACACAAATGAAGGGCAACGAGACTTTAACAAGCATAGATGGAAAAACTATAGACAGGTCAATAGTCACTGAGAGGCTATCAGATTTAGCCTAAGTAGATATTGTACCTACTAGTAAGATTTCAGTTATACCACTATTGAGTTAGTGGTAAATTAGAGGATAACCAGTTTTTAATTTCAGCTAACAGCTGAACAGTAAAGGTGGAGGGAAGACATAGAAGATAGATAAAGCTGAGCGTCATCAGCATATCAGTGGAAATGAACGTCGTACTTCCTAAAAATATGTTCCAAGGGGCAATAGACAAATAGTAAATAAAAGAGGGCCCAAAACTGAGCCTTGGGGAACACCAGTGGTTAAACTAAGACAGACCTGTGCCCATTACTCCAAGGAAGTCCAGCTTGTCTAGGAGGATGTTAAACGAGATTGTATCAAAGGCCGTACTTAGAATGAGTACCGGTTAGTTCTCACCACAGTTTAAAGGGGTCATATGATGTTGCTAAAAAGAACATTATTTTGTGTATTTGGTGTAATGAAATGTGTCTTTTAAACCTTAAACTGCATAAACATTATTTTCCACATACTGTACATTATTGTTTCTCCTCTATGCCCCGCCTTTCTGAAACGCGTAGATTTTTACAAAGCTCATCAGTCTGAAAAGCGAGTTGTGCTGTGATTGGCCAGCTATCCAGTGCGTTGTGATTGGCCGAATACCTCAAGTGTGTGACGGAAATGTTACGCCCCGTACCATACTGTGATGATGCCCAGTCAGGCCGGAGCGATGATTCAAAAACATGAAAACCTATTATAAACGAGGCATTCGTTGCATCCAGTGGGGACATAATTATGGATTATAATAACTTATACTGTCTTTTTACGCGTTGCGTTGCATCGCGCCACGTAAACATAAAACCATGTCTGCATTTG